TACTCTTGAGGATCATTCCCATGTTTATCTTTCTGACCTCTGGAGAATAAAGTTTCAGACTCCCAACTTCATCAACCATTGCTAATAATTTTGGTGTCATTTAAATAATGTTTCCCAAAGTGCAAACTAATAACTAATGTTATCTTTTTTTTTAAGTTTTTTCTTTTTTTTTAAGATTTATTTATTTATTCATACAGAACTGGGGTACAGGCGCGAGATGCGGAGGGTGATAGGATTCACCAGAGATAGAACCGGGAGCAGAACAGGCAGATCAACGAAGTACACTGCTGAGGGGAGCAGCGGGCGGGTCAGGAGAGGTCTGCTACGCCATGTGGTCACCTCCGGGGCAGGCGGGAATCGAACTCATGAGGAAGTGGCCTCAGCTTCTTAGTGCAGTGCTTTAGTCGGCTGGCCACCAGGGAAGGCTCTAAACTAATGTTATCTTAATGGTTAAGAACTATAGAAATATCCCATTGGTATGGTTAAATTTTCCAGAAAGCTTTTGTACTGCTCTGTTAAACACAAAATCCTTTTGCATTAGGATGATTTTAAATTAAACTTGTGAAAAGTTGATTTTAAATCAACCTCCAGGGAGGTAAGAGGGGTTGCAGGTTAAGTTCAATTGTCATTGAGCAATGAATTAAAATTAAACAAATAACTGCCTTATAAAGATAACCTTTTTTTTCTGATGACTAATGATCTTTATTATAAACACTGGTTATAATATGTTATTCAAATTCAATCAACTAAATCAAAATAACTATTGAGAATTATGCTTGAGGAAGCTTATTCTGGTACTGTCATTGAGAACAAGTATCCCTTTTTAATATTTTACTGTAGTATATTTTTCAGATGATGTCATTGAGATAACAAAATGATCACATCCCAAGAGAAAGGAAGTGTCTCAGGGCCCTCCCAGGTGGTGCAATGGGTTAAAGCACAGCACTGAAAGCTGGCCGCTGCCACTTTGGTGCGAGTTCAATCCCAGGCCCTGGAGGTGACCTACTCAGCGCAGCTGATCTCTCCTGACCCCGCCCACTGCTCTCCTCAGCAGTGTACTTAATGGATCCGCCTGTTCTGCTCCCCACTCTGTCTCTGGTGAGTCCTCTCACTGCCTCTGCACCTCTGGCCTGTACCCCAGTTCTGTATGCATAAATAAATCTTTTTTTAAAAAAAGTGTCTCATGGCCCTCCCTGGTGGCTCAGTGGGTTAAAACACAGCACTAAGAAGCTAAAGCCACTACCGCATAAGTTCAAATCCCACCTGCCCCGGAGGTGATCCACATGGTGAGGCAGACCTCTCCTAACCCGCCCACTGCTCCCCTCAGCAGTATACTTCGTCAATCTGCCTGTCTGCTCCCCACTCTGTCTCTGGTGAATCCTCTCACCCTCCATATCTCTGGCCTGTACCCCAGTTCCATATGAATAAATAAATCTTTAAAAAATAATAAAAAGAAAAGTGTCTCGAGCAAGATTAAAATTCAAGTCAACTTCATATCAACATGGAGAGATGGTATATCAGGCCTTATCAGGTAGCTCTGTTCAGTCCTGATGAACCTCAGAGGCCCACAAGTCTGAAACCAGTGGGTAAGCAGGGTTAATTCCTTCTGAGAGCTACGAGGGAAGGACTTGCTCTGGGCCTTTCTCCTTGGTTTTTAAGTGGCTGCCTTCATCTAAAACCAAGTGTTGCTTTACATCCTCTTCTCCCTGTGCATGTGTCTGTATCCAAATTATCCCCTTTCTGAGGACCATATATAGATTAGGGTCCACCTTAATGACTTCTCATCACTTGATTGCTTTGTAAAGACTATCACCACATGAGGTCATACTCCGAGGTAGAGGTATGCACTCTAAGATAGCTTGTGCAGATGGGTGAATACTTTAAGCTATAAAGCATGCACATGGCAACATTACTTTGATAATCACATGGCCTTCCCCTTATATGCATGTCTTTGTCAATTTCTTTGATTGGGACACTAGTCATGATGCATTAGGGGTCTCTTCTTAACTAGTTAATTTACAGTGATCCTATTTCCAAGTAGTTCAGGCACCAGAGGAGTGTTCTCTAATCTCTGGGTTCTTCTCCTGCTTTTGAGTGAAAAACAAGATGTGCTGGTAGAAGAAAAAGACTAATTTAATAATTGTCACACAGAAAACGTTCCATAAGTAGGTGGATCCTGACTTCAGGTGCAAGAACAGAGTTTAAATTTGCAACTAAGTAATGTGGTAGGGGATTGAGGTGCTAAAGGGAGAGGAGGGGGTACTTCACATCATGAGGATATGACTTGATGTTTATGCTGAAACTAAAGGTGGGTTTTACAGATAGAACATTTCTACCAATAATCCCATACCTGGGTAACACTCAATTTTCATTCTTTTAGGTAATAAAGGAGCAGTGGTTACTTCTTTTGATTTTGGGAAAAGTAAGAACTTCTCTTTAGCCTCCACATTCCTCAGTGATTTCAACTGAAAATAAATAATCCAGATGCTACATTATCTTGGGTGGGAGAATCCTTCCACAAATAAAGGTGGAGGTCACTACCCAGAAGGGGGAGATATTTAGGAGAGGATTTATTTTGAGTTTGGAGAGGGGATGTCAATGAGAGTGGGCCACAGAAATCTGAGGAACAGCAGTACCTTAGGTTTAACCTTGCCAAAGATTAGCATACAATGGGTGACATTTCACTGTGTACCCAAAGGACTGCATTTCTAAATTCCTGAAAATGTTTTTGTGTGGGTGGGGGGCTTGCATTTCCAATAATTAGATAAGTGAAAATTTGAGTTTGGCACCAGCAGATTTTCAGACTACATTGTCCCCAGCCTTTTGTGAAGAACATAGCACAGAACCCAAATACTGGGACCATTTTTAAAGAATTTGCATAACAATTAGCTACCTAGTGAAAGACATTTGACAATTTCTCCCCAACAAAACTGGCATACACAGGTCAAAAGAAAAACAACCAACCAATTTAATTTCAGATATGACAAAAGGCTAATTATTATAATCAGGACTTCTAAAAATAAGTAGCATAAAATGATAAAGAAATATAGTCTCCTCAAAAAAAGCAACTCAAAAACAAACAGGGAGGAATTAACTGTTGGAAGTAAAATAATTACAACTGTGAGAACTCCCTGGGAAGATGGGAACTAGATGGCTGGTGGTGGTGGTGGTGGTGGTGGGAGCAGCTGAAACACAGCAACCCCCTAGGAGGAAATCTATGGCAGCCTAGGAAGGATCTGGAGAGGCTGATTCTTGTGCTTTTCTCTCATTTCAATTTAGGAACAGGCAGTGACAGGGTTTTGGGTTGTTGCAAAGTGTCAGCATAGGATACAGAACCCAGGTAAAAAAAATAGTGGAAGAACCCAGGGGCAGGATGACCCCTGTCCTTACAGAGTGCTGCCTCCATCTCTGCAGCTCCTCCAGGACTTGAGCGTCCTTGGTCTCAAATTTCCCAAGCACGCCCTTGAGCTTGTATATCTCAACACTTCAACGTTACTCATTTTGCAGCAAGAGAGCTGCAGAACACAACTACTCTAAAAGAAAGTTATCAAAATAAAAGTAAAATTGAACACTTGACATGTGAAGCATATTTTTTTTTTGGAATACACAGGTCAGTGATTTCAAAGAAGCACACCATCTATTTAAACAGTTGAGAAAGAATATGACAATAAAGCAAAGACACAAGAAATTACTTTGAAGAACAAGAAAAGATAATGGAATAATAGCAGGATGATTACATTGGTGAGGTTAGGAACCAGACAGTCGTGTACACCAACATTGTTACAGAACCACATTTTTATCATAGTTAGGAAGCTCTGTTTTATTCCAATTTATATGTATTTATAAATTTTAAGTCTTTTACAATCTGGACCAGTGAAATTTAATGAGGGATGATACTTTTGCAGTCATTTAAAGAATGTTTATGGATCTCCTGAGGTTTTCTATTTTTTTTTTTTAAGATTTATTTATGCATATAAGAACTGGTATACAGACCACAGGTGGGGGGGTGGGGTGAGAAGGAAGAACGGGGGTACAGGCCAAAGGTGGGGGGGTGGAGGGTGAGAGGATTCATCAGAAGCACAGTGGGGAGGAGAACAGGCAGAATGACTGAAAACCACTGCACAGGGGTGCAGTGGGTGGGTCAGGAAAGGTCTGCTGTTGCGCCTTTAGGGTAGCTCCCTGGCCGGGGATGGAAATCAGGCTGCAATGGCTGTGGCAAGCTTCATATTGCCTTGCTTTAAACACTTGCGCCACCAGGGAAGCCCCTCTTCTGTCTTAGTGTATATTTTAAAGAATTTGCTCATTTTATCTAAATTTATTTTTTTTATTTATAAGTTTATTTTTTACATCATTTTGTACATTTTTTCCCCATCTCAATTGTAAATTTAAAATTTTAATGGAACATGTTGATCATAATGTCCTCATATGCATCCGTAATCTGGAGAGCCCCTCATTCATTTCTGGTATTGGTTAACTGGAGCTTTCATTTTGTAAGTGCTTTTGCAGGAATATCACAATTTTTTTAAGGAGCCAAATCCTGACTTTCTTCATCTCCTCAATGATACATACATTTCCTCTTTGAAGAATTTCAACTTTCTTTTAAATTTCTACTGTTCTTTATCATTTTCATATTGCTATTTTTACTTAGGATCTTGAAAGGGAGAGCCTTTTTGGAATATGGAACTAAGCACCAGGGCAGACACCAAAGAACTGAGTCTGAATAGATAGGTCAGGAGTGTGTGTGGGGGGGGGGTTGGGGGGTGGCGCGAGGGTGACTGTGACAGTGAATCGACCTCAAACCACCGCCTTGCACTCCGTAGGGGACCAAGTTTACTACCCTTGGACCGAAAACTGCGCAACACAGCCTGGCTAGCTACCACGGAAGCTGCGCGTAGGGCTAGGGCTTAAAGGTCCCAGACGGGCGAAAAAGTCCAGGTTTGGATTCCAGGGGACGTGTTAGAGATCGTACTCGTCCCTCCTCTTCCGGTTGGGTCCGCCGGCTTCTCCAGCCCCACGTGTGTTTGGCGCCGGCTCTCTGCGTCTGCAGTCAGGTGCAGGTGGTGAAACTGATCTGAAATCACACGGGTCGGAAGTGCGGAGGTCCCTGCGAGACTGCTGCGGGACGGACCATGGTGGGCCCTTCACACCTCCTCCTACCGCTACGTTCCCTGGAAGCCTCCAGTCTGGCCGGCTGGAGGAAGTGGGCGGTCGTGGGAAGCTGAAAGGGGAGCTGATTGCTTTGGGCGGTGCTAGGCGGGTGCGAGCGCGGGGTGCGGCTGCGGGCGCCTGCCCGGGAGTTCCCGCGAAAGCTGTGATTAACTTTAGAAGGGTTCGCCTGACGCCCCGGCACTCCTCCAGACTGGCTTGTCACGTCCCCCCGCCTCGCCGCCGGGAAAGTCTGCATCTTTGCATTTTCTCGCCACTGACGAGTGTTGGAGTGGGAGTCGGGGGAGCAGAGTCCTGCCAAACGCTGGGAGGGGGCTGGCCCCGCCCAGCTGTACCCGCCTTTGCGGTGTAGGCCGCCTGGAGGTTGAGATTCGGTAGTCTCGGGGCGGTGATCACCGCTCTCCCCTGACCCACTCCCATCCCAAATCCTGCCGCTGTGTCCGGCCCCTTTGCTTGGATCTTGCTCTAAAACTTTTGCTGTTAATTGTAATTAGTTTTAGTACTAGTGGTGAAAGTACAGCTTGCAGTTGCCCTCATTTCTTTGTTGATTTCTCTTACTGCAACTCTTTCCTGAATTCTTCCTATCTTTATTATGTCAAACTTTAATTTTGCCAAGGTAAAGATCTTGAAACTCATTCACTCTACTCAACACTTTATTCTACATTAAAGACGTTAGTGCTTTTAAATTTGGGGAGTCCTGTGTTACTAGGCACTAAAAAGCTCATTATAAAGTTTTTTTTTTTTTTTAATCTTTCTGACTAGATTATAAACCCTTAAAAAGTGTGCCATCATTTCACTTTGGCTTATCCTTATTGACTAATCAACTTTTCCCCACAGTTCCATTGATATAATTGGTATATAACACTGTGTAAGGAGTACTCTAAGGATTTGATGTCCATGTACTGACATGATTACCATAATAAGCTTCATTAATATATTGCTCAGCTACCATTTTTTAATAGTGAGAACTTTTAACAAGTGTACACTATAGTATCCTTAACTGTAGTCACGATGCTGTGCATAGAGTGTCAACTTACTGGTCTTATCACTACGTTTTTGTGACCTTTGTCCACGTTCCGCTGTCATCCCAGTCCTCACCCACCAATTACTCTCAGAAATTCAATTAGTAGATATTAAAATTGGGAAGTCTGGAATTTTGGGAGTAGAATTTTATCTATTCTCCCTATTCTGTGTTTGAGTATCAAGGTATGTAATAGTGATAGGCTGTAGTTGAGGTTGTCTTAGGTCATTATGATTGCTATTGGGTTTTATGTGAAAGTTTCATAAGCAGGAATTGTTTCTCCTCGACTGTATTTCTTTGTCTTCTAAATATCCTTGGAAGACTCCCACTTTCCTAGATCTCTGGAGAGGGCTAGTACGTTTTTGTTCACTACATCTTTATTTTGTTATAATCATTAAGTATACTGTCAATCTGCTTGTTAATTTCATGTTACTCTCACTTAAGAGGTCTAAATGGGATTGCATCTGAGATGCATTTAAACCAGATACTTCATTTTTGTTCTTTTTTAAGCTCTAAAAATATCGATCCAATATTGAACCTTCTAAATATATTGTTTCTTCTATATATTCTTATGATAGGGTTTACTTTATAAATTTGGCACAATAAGTAATAAAATCTAATAGTTACAATAAAAGCTGTGTGAAAGGGTTCTTATTCTCTCAATATCTGCTGTACATAATATCTGACTGGGATTCATCCTGGACAACTGAAACCATGGGAGGGAAAACAGGGTAAGGGGGTTCTGCTATGACTGATCATCAAGTAGAGTTATGAGTGGGCTGTTCTTGCCCCCTGAGGTATAGTTCTTAGAATGGTGCTTATCATACTTTAGGTTCTTTCTCATGAAATAACTGTACTTAGCTGAGCTTAGTATCAGGTTCTTTCCTCTTATTAATCTTTTAGTGAAGGGACTTTTATTATTTCTGGTGGTTTTAAGGTACCACCTATAACCCCTAGTTATGCCAAATTTGTGTGATTTTCTTAGTACCAGGCTCATTTTCTTGATTTTCTACTTAAATGCCTCCTGGGCATCTAACTCATGTCTACAGGTGAATTCTTGATATCCATTGTCTGTGTGCCATTCCTATCTCATTTAGTAGATGGTACTTCTGACAATGGTTTTTTGTGCTTTGAACCTGGGAGTCATTCCTGATACCTCCCCTTTCCACCTCCTCTTTCTCTCACTTTCTGTTTTCAAGTCCTATCATTCATTTTCAAGTCCTATCATTTTTAAAACATATTTCCAGCCTTGACTTTTTTCTCATCTTCACTGTCATCTAAAAATAAGTATTAAGTAGAGACTGCCCTTTGGTTCCAAATAGACTATTTTTTTCCTACTAGAGTAATGTATTTTCCCCCCAGAGACTGTGCTTTATATAACTCTGCCTAAATTTTGGCTAATGAGATGTGAGCATACGAATCTGCTACTGCCCAGATTTTACTCTTAAAGGAAAGGTATATGGCTTTTGATTTTCTCTTGTTTCTTAGTGCTGAAATTTAAACCAGGTATTAAGTAATTGTGGGCTATTTGGGTAGATGTGAGATTGTGGCCTACAGTTGATAACAAAGTGGAAGGAGTTTGGCTCTCCCAGGACTTTGTGGAGCACACCTCCAGTGCCTACATTTTACCTGAGAGAACTAAACTTTATCCTTGTTATATTGTTTTTGGGGGTGGGGGGTGTGTTTCTATTGCCAGGGGCCAAACCTAATGTAGATGGGATCAGACATACTGCATAGGACTGTGTAGGGACAAAAGATTCCTGACAGTGTCTAGCTTAGAGGACTCAATGAACTGTGACATAGTTAACTGGCATATCCTTGAATGGGAAAATAATTTGTTCTGTTTTGGATGTGCTAATTTTGAGATAGCTTTTATTATTCCATCTGTTCCTGATTTCCTGTGAGTCCAACTTGGATTTTAGTTGATTCACTGCCCACTCTGTTCCATGTGAAATTTCTACTGTCAAGCTCCCATTAACACCTTGTGTTCCTTCTGCCCCTTAAAGTTCAACTGTTATACAAATTCCCACTGCGAGTCTCTTTGTTCTCGGCCTTGTCTGTACCTATTATGAGGGTGGGACAGCTGAATGGTTGGATTTCTAGTCCCCTTGTTTGTCTTTCACTGGAGAGTAGTTTTGAATATATCATTTCTGTTGTGCCCATGGAAACAAAAACTGTCAGGACTATTTAACTTGTCTGGCTTCCCTCCTGGTTCTTAGTGCAGCACTTCTGTGTATTATTGCCTTAAAAGATTTCTGAGCGAAAATTGGATAGAAATCATGTAAGTATCTAACTATATATGTACTATGTTTTCCTTCATTTTAGCCGAAAGCACCAAAGGGAAAAATTGTGGGACGGGAGAAAAAGGTCATCCACCCATACAGTAGAAAAGCAGCTCAAATTACAAGAGAGAACCACAAACAAGAAAAAAAGGAAAAGTAAGTTATCTTTTCATCCGTTTTATGCATCGGTGAAAGGTCCATTTACATGTTTATCCTTAGTATCCCCCTTCTCTTCCTCTAATCTTTGTTAAGTGTATTTTTTGTGTTGAAGGTGAAAAACAGTGAAAAGGGTTGAGCTTTTACAGAGTTCACCTAAACAGAACATACATTTAAGCAGGCTGTGGTGAGTGTAATGAAGAAAAATTAAAGAGGAATTTTTTGGAAATGGAGAGTAGGGAACAGATTATATTTTGCATGGAAGGCTTCTGTGAAGTCAAGTCCCCTTTGAGCAGAACACTGCAGGGTGTGAGGGAGTCAGCGACGCAGAGGTTGCACACAGGCTAACATGCCTAGTACGCGTGTGAAAGGCCGTAAGGACACAGGTCCGCCAGGCAGCTTGGTGTGCCCCGCCTCCACATTCTCCCCAGGAACTCAGGGTTCTGACCACTTCCTAAGGTAGTTTTTCTGAAGAAAAGAGGTAGGGGTACTAGGGAACATGGGTTAGGGTACACCGCCTTTGACCAGCAGCAGAGGATATAAAACCAGACCAGCTGGGGGAGGCAGACTCTGTCTGGCTAGCAAGCAGTGTGGCAAAGACTTGCTTCCAAGGTCTCTTCTGATGAATTAATATCAAAGAACACATTTAGGAAAACTTTTTTTTTTTTAACCTGGAATTAAAAGATGACAGTAATGCATGTTGATTTTGGTGGCAACACTCAGTATTCTAAAGATACTCACTCTTTGGTGCACCGGAGTTCCGTACATTCTAAGACCCATCTGGACACTGATAACCCACTTAGCTTTCATTTGCTTTCAAAACTGTTCTGTTCGTAGGTGTCCTATAATCGTTGAAGAGCTAAGAAAAAAAAAAAAAGTTTAGTAGTATTTCATTCTGCTAATTTAAAAGGATCCTGTTCAGTGTTTCTACATTAACCAAATCACTATCTCGCATATATACATCTTCGAATTAAAGTTCCTTTGGCAGTTTTCTTTGGTCTTGTTTTTGACAAATTTTTCAGACTTGCTCTGGAAATTTTCTAAAACATGTACCTTATCTTCCAAGGTTGAAGAATGAAAAAGCATTACGTCTCAACCTTATTGGTAAGTGAATCTGTTTATCTGAGATCTGATTACAGTACAGTGAAGTCATTCCCTATACCTATTTAACTCTTGATTAAAATATTATCATGTAAGTGAATTTGTTACCAGGCTGATAAGTTTGCTTTAGTCAATATTTTTAAGATAAAATTTTGATACCTGTTTTCTAGAAACTGGTCTGTACTTATTAATCTACCATTTACCTGTCTGAAATTTAATTATTGTTCTCTTAACAGTTGAAATGATGACCTGGGTATTTTGGAAATAGCAATTTAATATAATGATATGGATACATTCTCTTACTTAGTTTCACAATCTTTCTTGTCAAATTCATAAATATTTATTGACATGTTTGAAATTTCAAAAGTGATTATGAGACTATTTGAAATCATCTCTAAAGCTTCATCAAAAAAATGAAATAGTGGGCCCTCCTAGAGGTTCAATGAGTTAAAGCACAGCACTGTGAAGCGATCAGCAGCCACTGCAACAGGAGTTGGATTCCAGGCCAGGGAGGTGACCCACGCACTGCTCCCCTCAGCAGTCTATTCCAGTCAGTCTGCCTGTTCTGCTCCCCACTGTCTCTGGTGAATCCTTTCACCCCCTGCACCTCTGGCCTGTGCCCCAGTTCTGTATTCATAAATAAATCTTCAAAAAAAAAAACAAAAAAACTTAGAACAGTTTCATTAAAAGTAGTTTTCTTTAAAATTGTTGCCTTACAAAATATGTACCAAAAAGCATCCCTCCCACCCATCTCTTCCCCAAATTAAAATGTGACAATTTAATTTCGAACAGACTGGTTTAGTAGCTTTGAACCCACACAAGACTTTATATTTAACATTGAAATAAATGTTGATATTGTTTGAAATTCACTAATATTGAAAGCTACCTTGAGTACTTCGCTTAAATGATGACTTAGTGTTAAACTGTCTTGGCACTAAACAGGTGAAAAACTGCGATGGTTTCAGAATCATCTTGATCCCAAGAAAGGAGGATATTCAAAGAAAGATGCTTGTGAATTAATTGAAAGGTAAACACAGGGTATGTTATGAGCAAAGGGTCAGACAAAGGTTCTGGTTTTATAGAAGAAGAAATGTTTTTTGTTAAACATGTTTGGGATTTATAAATCTCATCACTCTGGGAGGTTTGTGACCTTTCTCAGCCTCAGTATGGTAGTAACTCCAGGCTTGTTATCCAGACAGGCCTCCTGGAGACCTTTCATCAAAGCAGACTGGCTAAGGGTAGCAGATTGAGGTATTTGTAAGGATCTCTAGCCAGCGAGAATGGTATCCAGAAGGCCTAGTGAGAGCAACATGCTGCAGTGATCTGCCAGCCATTTGATACGACCAGACAACGGGTAGATCGGGGCAGTTATGAGCTCTGTGTTCCTCACTTGGGCAACTCCATGATGTGTGTTACTCCCTGAAGCAGGCAACCAGACGTGGAGCTGGTTTTGGTGGGGGAGGAATGAGGCATTGGTATGCTAAGAGTGAAGTCTTTAGGTCAAACCAAATGGACATCCAGGAGGTAATTGACGAAGAGGAGCTGGAGTTTGGATACTGTGAGTTGGTTATTGAAGTGGGTGAAATGGCAGTTATGTAAGGAAAGTTTGAGGTCTGAGGACTTGAACTCACACTGTAAGAATTTAAAGAATTCAGTTGTAGATTGACTATTTTGTTTTAAATGAAGTAATACAGGTCAAATGTACAGGCTTTGTAACGCAAATCCTTTTCTTACTTTTCAGATACTTAAATCGCTTCAGCAGTGAGTTGGAGCAGATTGAATTACATAACAGCATCAAAGACAGGCAGGGACGGAGACACTGTTCCCGGGAGACAGTCATCAAGCAGACAATGGAGCGTGAGCGACAGCAGTATGAAGGCTATGGCCTTGGTGTGTTCGCTGACTTTTTCTTTCTAAATTACATAGCTTGTAATTCATTTCAAAAGCTTAATATTATTGCTTTATTTTAAATTCAGTTGGTTTTCTTCTTCTGGTTCTGTTCTTTTGTAAACACGGAATAATTCAAGTTCTCCTTTTGTCCGCCTCCGTTCCCAGAACTGTCAGTTGTGACAATGATAGCATCTCTGCCGTGACAGTTTTTCTCTTCCTTCTGGCCCAGGCCTAACTGGCTTTGTCGAAGTCATTCCCTGCCCATCCCAGAATCTTTAAAGCACATATCATGTGCTTCTTCCCTTAGTAGTTTTTGCACTACCAAAGTGTACTTGTTGCAGTTATGCTTGAGAAACTGGAAATTGTTTTCTTTCTTAGCATTGTCTCTTTTGTTACAATCATCTTTCCCTACCTCAGATGAATTCTTGAGCTTGCCAAGGTGAAGTGTATACTAGAAAAAGTTATATTTTCTATGGGAAAATATACAGAATTTAGAATGTTGTTTTAAGGGATTGATAATTAGAATTTACTATGGATCTTTTGCACTTTAAGAAAAGGACAACTATTAATGCATTTGATTTATTTTGTAGATTCTATGTCGTTTTATTTAATAGTATTTTTCTTAAATCACTTTAAGCCTTTTATACGTAAAAATTTATACTTATTTCTCATATAGCATCATGGCAATACTTTGAAATTGTTTTGCTTTTGATCATTGCAATAAACAAGAAAACTATGAAATGTTAAGATCTAGAAGACACTGTTTAATAATGTAAATTTTCTTCCCCAGAGATTCCAGACATTGTAAATTCAAGTAATCTGAAAACCTTCAGGTAAGTTTTTTTTTGTTTTTGAAGCTGTACAGAAGATACGTAAGACAGTTTCTTCTCATTTGAGGCTAGGAGAAAATGTACTAACCTTTTTTTTTTTTAAAGATTTATTTATTTGTGCATACACAACTGGGGTGCAGGCCAGAGGCTCAGGGGCGGTGAGAGGCTTCACCAGAGTGGGGAACAGAACAGGCAGATTGGCGAAGTACACTGCTGAGGGGAGCAGCAGGCGGGCCAGGAGAGGTCTGTGTGTGCCATGTGGCTCACCTCTGGGGTGGGGATCAAACTCGCACTGAAGTGGCCACAGCTTGGCTTAGCTTCACAATGCAGTGCTTCAACCCCCTGCGCCACCAGGGAGGGCCACATGAGTTGTCTTTAATAAAAAATTTAAAAATCATTTTCTAAATTAGTAAATAAATTTTATTAGTCACTTAGGCCTTAACTAGATTATCGATAGGTCTAAAATTTTGTTAATTGAAATTTGATAAATTTAAGCTCATTCTCTAAACCCATGCTTTATATTTCTGTATTTAATATTTGTATTCATAAATTAATTAGTCTTGAGTTGATTGATCATATTTGAGAATTAGTTCACTTTTTACCTCAATCATTTGTATTTGTACATGGAACTTCTGGTTCTTTTTATGTTTTTCCTTAATCAGCTATATAAATACTTATTTCTTAATGCATATTCTATCCCAAAGAAAATTAGAAATGACAAAACAAATTAGCATAGATTAATACTGTTGGTCAGTTCAGTTGTCGAAACTATCTTCACATTGCTTCTAAAATAATTGAACATAAGATTATCCCAGAAAATGCTGAGGTGGCAAAAATGCAAGTTTATAAAGATTTATGAATACAAGTGTTGGAGTTTAGGCCAGAGATGTGGGGAGCTGGGGGGATGAGAGGATTCACCATAGAGTTGGGAGCAGAACAGGCAGATTACTAAAATACACTGCTGAGGGGAGCACGGGGCGGGTCAGGAGAGGTCTGCTGTGCCATGTGACCTCTGGCGCAAGGGGCAGTGGCTGCCCTGAGCTTCACAGTGCTGAGACTTAACCCCTTGCACCACCAAGGAGACCCTTGATACCTGAGATCCTTGATATTGCATGGCCTAATAAGGGGAACTATTGTAACATCTGATTAATATGTTCCTGTTTTGCTTTGGAAGTTTTGAATATGGGAATTGCCATCATTAATATTAATTAATGAGAAAATACAATAAGTTGTAAATAGAAAGCCTTAGTTCTTAGTTCTTAGAACATTGTTTCCCTCCTCCCCTTTAGTATATTCATATTGTTTGTGTAGCATGCATTTCATCTACTTTCAGAGCTTTGAATCTTGACTTTCTCCTGCTTCTTCACCTTCCTCCCACCATGTTTCTTTTGTCTAGGGATTGGGATTGTGACCTGAAGAAATTACCAAACATTAAAATGAGAAAATTTTGTGCTAATGATGCAGTTCCCAAGAAGTGTAAGAAGAAAACTGTTACTACAGCTGTAGACAAAGATTTAGGGGAACTGGAACTAAATGATGAATCAAGTGACACAGATGAGGAAATGACTGCAGTGGCCTAACTGCCTTAAGAAGAATAGTTTGGGAACTTCAAATTACACTTGAATGATTATGGTAAATAACTGTCTTATACAATACTGCTATTTACCTTACTCGCTTACATGTTGAGAATACCATCTGCAGATTTAAAAACAGTGCTTTGATATTTATTTAAAAATCAAAAATGTTGCTTGTCAAACAGGCTGTAATTTTTTCCTTGTTTACTACATATGGTCACTTAATCTATTTAGGAATAAAGTCAGCCGCCTGTTTTCTGAAAGGGTCTTAGTTAGTAGTACTTGAGCGATGATGCCAAAGCTGTTTGCAGTAATGTGTCACTCATCTTCCTCATAAACAGAAATGTCTCTTCCTTTCAAGTAGGGAAAGTGTATACACTGATGAGTTGCACATTATTTTATTTACCTTTGAACTAGAGTAAAATTTTTTAAAAACCTGACTTGTATCATCGCACACTTTAATACATGATTTCAGTGTAATTTTTTTTTTTCTGTTTTCTTATTGTGAAAAGTGATACGTTTTGTTTGTGAAAACAGAACTAAATATTAGCGGAAAATTTCAATTGTACTATATTTTCTTCTTAGAGAGTTACATGTGAATCTAACCTAAGTCAGGCATGGAAAAAAATCATGTGGTTGAATGTTATTTCACTGAGTATCTAAATACAAGTATTTTTCATCTGTCTTCTACAGTACAAGTGTATTTGAATACTTAAGACATATTGAGATTGATTAACTAGGTATCAACGAAGTCTTAGCAGTTTAAAGTGTTACAGCTTTTTTACTTCTGAAAATTAACAATAAAATTTATGATTTCTTAAAGTTCGGTTATTTTTAAGTGATGAAGCTGATGCTTCTTTAGTAATCTGGATAAAAGTATGAGCTTATGACTACACAATAAGTTCTTATTAGTCATTGAAAATTTTTCTTTTGGGGGTTGGTTTATATTTAGTCTCAAAATGGCTATAAAAACTGAGTCATAAACTACAATTAATAAGAATTGTTTGAACTGGCCTGATATTTAAAAAGCCATACTGTTAAGATGATTAACTTGTGAAAGTGACAGATCATCCTCCCCCTCAAACATTTGGTTAGTTTTCCCTGTTATCAATTTGAAAATTAACAAGCTTAGAACTAGAACAGGTAACTATTTGTTAAATCAGTGAATTTGCCATTCAAACCCACAGTTGTTATGTCTTCTGTGATTGGAGCAAGGTAACATAAGAAATCATTTGTCTTTAGTAACATTTAAATGATAAATCCATAGTCATTATTTATAGACCCTGTTCTGTCTGCGGTGATAACGTTTGCTCTTTATCTGACCTCTCGTGGTCAGCAATAGGTCTTTATAAGCTTGCTTCTCTGGTCCATGGCCGTGGAGCAGAAGGTAACTCACTTTAAGTAATACACAGCATAATGCAGTCCCTGTCAGAATTCTAGTAACAGTTTAAGGAAATAGAACAGAAAATACCAAGATGTATATGGGACCACAAAAAATAGCTAAAGCAGTTGTTTCACTATCTCCATTCACAAAAATTCATAAAGACTGAAATATAAGAACTCAAACCATAAAATACATAGAAATCATAGGTGATTCATAAAGTGATGCTTTTGGAGCAGATTTGACCCCAGAGAAAGGGAGATAAAACAAGGCAACTGGGACTACATTGAATTAAAAAGCTCTTGTAATTTGAAATTATCAGCAAGCCAAGGAATTATTTATAGCACTGTTTACTTCAGCATTATTTGCAGTAGCAAAGATGATGGAAACAAGTGGCCACTTATAGATTAGTAAACAGCCTACTAAATATGAGTGTTTGCATATCACATATTCAGTGTAAGGGGTTAATATCCAAGATATATAAAGAACTCATCCAATTTAAAATATAACCCAGAAAAATGGACAGACAGAAGAGCTAAATAGAACATGTCTAGAGCACACACTGATGACCAACAGGTGTGGAAAAAACAAAAATCACTTTTTAGGAAAATGCAAATCAAAACTACAGTAAGTTATTACAACCCTTTCAGAACAAAAAAGACTTATGCATAGGTGTTGGTAAGAATGTGGAGAAAAGAATCTCTATATCCTGACGGTGGGGATGTCAATTGGGGAGACCCTTTTGGAAATAGTGTTTAAGAAGCTAAAAACAGAATTGTGTGAGCCAGTACTTCCACTTGTGGATATCTGTCCTAAGACTACCAACCCATCAAGCCAAGGTATTACTTATTTATCGCACTGTTTACAGCAGCATTATTTGCAGTAGCAAAGGAGATGGAAACAAGTGGCCACTTATTAATAAAGCAAAAGCTGCCCACTTGTAGTGGGGATGATAAAGCAAAAGTTGCCAGCTTCTGTAGTGGGGACAAATATCGGAGGGAGGCCTGCGGCATGGGGTTGAAAACTCAGACTCAAGACAGAACAGGTGAATATACTGAAATGCACTCCAGAGAACCAGGGAGCAAGATTGAAGTCCTCACATGAATGAATTTGTGCTGCTTTTTGTAACAGGTTTTCTCTGCTTTCCATGACTGGGAAAATCAGCTCGGGCCAGTTTCTTGCTGGGGTACTTGGTCTTGGGCATTGATAAACCTTTGACACCAAATGTGTGGCCATGTTTCCGAATTCATGGTCAAAATGATCAGTTTTAAGGCCTGGTTCCCATAGCAAGTTCAATTCCCTTTGCTTAAGCTTTCTAAACCTTCCTGCTGGTCAAGGAGTGTATGCCCAGTTTTAAACTTATTAAATGATACTTTGACACTTCCCTGGGATTTGTCTTCCAAAATGGGTCAGATGATACAATGCAACATAAGAAATAAGCACCCTGTTGTTGTGGGGTTGATTCTAATTTTCACCTAAGCAGTTGTGTAGCCTGCAGCTGAACCCTAAAGAATCCTGAGGTAAAAAGTCTCACACTTCATACTTTCTGCATTTCTTCCCTGGAAGCCAGGTAGGGAAATTGAGGTTTCCTATAGTGAACCACTTGTGTGCTGGTGAGTTGTAGGGCACGTTAGGGTTAAGTAGGCAATTTCAGAGATAGTGCAGGCAGAGACTTTGGGAACATTAAAGCAGCTTCTGAGATAAGGGTAGAGAAATCTAGGGGGGCAATAAATTTTAAGGCTAAAAACAAGAGTAAATTCTAAGACTTTGGACAGAGGCTGTCAAAGACTAGGTAAGGGCGGTCAAGCTGGACACAGCTGTCCAGGGAAATACAGCCACTGAGAGCTCCAATCACAAAGGATGAGGTTTTAGAAGAGGGGAAAAGGGTTTTAAGATCCCCTGAGATGGGCACATTCGGCGTCTTCCCCCCCACACCCTTCCCCACCCCCGCCATGGTTTGCTGCCTTGGAGTCTTTGCTTTTGTTCTTTTACTTCTAAATAAACTACTTTCTTGAATAAAGTTTGTTTCCCTCCACTTATCTGAAGTCTCAACTTTTCATGACTTTGCTGTGGCGGTGTGAGGGCTCAATTAACAGTGCACACCTGCCCATTGGCATCCTGATGAGCGCAAACAGCCTTGGCCCACACAGGCCAGGGCACAGCTGAAATGTCCTAACGCCAAATGGGAGACTTGTGAGAAACTAGCCACAGGCAGTTTCAGTTTTTTTTAATACTAGCTTCAACTATTGACTTTACTCCCTCCTGTTGAGGGAGTAGAAACTAGTTTTCTTGCCTTAATGAGTGGCCTTTCTTCTTTCAAAGGCAAACAGACCTGCTGGTACTCTAGATCTATTGTCTCGACAGGAACTTTGATTCTCGAAGATTTTCCACTCAACTCAAGCTAGAAATTGCCTGCAACTCAGCCCCTGCTTCTCCCCTTTCCACTCCATCTTCCCTCCCCGCTTTTCCCACCCACTCACGCCCCACCAGTACTTTCTGGTTCTATTTCCCGAACTCAGTCTTGTCAGCCTGAAACTGAGCCCGGGATGCAGCACACACTGCAAGGCAAGACCAGCTCCCCCCGCCCCCCCAAACACACACACTGCCTAAGCATCAGGAGCTGTAGGAAAACGGGTTTTTTAGGCCCAGCCAAAGCTGCTGTTGCAGGTACCCCCTCCCAGGCACCAGCTGGGCTGAAAGCTCTGACCCCAGGAGCCCCCACCTGGCTGCCCACAGGGCTCTTCTGGCCACATACAAGCTACCCTACAACAGAATGCCATGAAAAGAGTCAGTCTCGCTTACTTTCTCAGAGGCCAGGAACAGCACCAATCCGATCTCTTGCCAAATTGGCCCCTGCTCTGCCTTCTACCCTTTTCGAAGGCCCCGCCCCTCCACACACACCTACAAGCCTGATTGGGCTGTTTTCAATCCTGTGGCTGATTGGACCGAAGCACCAGTCAGCTCATAGCTTGCACAGATAGGGCCAGGCCACCATCCAGGCGCCATGTCCTTGGGCCTCTACTGAGCTAGCTCGAGGAGCCGCCACATTCACACTGTGGGCCCCTGCTCCTTCCTGCAGCCCTCTACCAGGGGCTGCCTGCCCTGGGGAGGTGGAAGGGGGTGGGGAGATGGGAGGGGAAACGTTGCTGTCCTGTCTGCACCCTGAACCCCGGTAGGGCCACTGGTGCAAGTGGTAAAATGCGGGCCACCCGCTGCCGCTTGCAGTTTGGGGCAGGGTGCAAGAAGGGGCTGCGCATAGGCAGCAGATCTGAAGCTGGGGAAGAGCCCTCTTGCCTCACAGCTAACGTTTCCAGCCCAGAGCCTTTCATCACTGGTGCCTAAGCCACCGAGTCCTGCCTATGTTGTGTGTATCGCTTCCTCCCGGGCCGTGGCCCCGCCATCCTTGCTTTCCTGAATCCACTCTCCAGAGTTGCTCGTGAATTTTAAAAAACCTGCACTAAAACGCGCTGCTCCTTTGTCCAAGTCCTTAGAAGGGCCGTCTTTTTACAATAATGTGCTTATTTAATGGGCTATGAGTTTGTTTTCTGAGTTTTTTTTTTTAAGATTTATTTATGCGTACAGCACTGGGGTACTGGCCAGAGGTGCAGGGGTGGTGAAGAGAATTCACCTGAGACAGGGTGGGGAGTGGAACAGGCAGATGGTTGAAGCAGCGGGCGGTCTCCCGCCCTGTGGGTCACCTCCGGGGCGGGGATCGAACTTGCACTGAAGCAACTGTGACTAGCTTGCAGTGCATCGCTGCGTCACCAGGGAGGGTCCTCTGACCACTTTTCATGTTTATTTTGAGTGCGGTTTTAGATTCACATCAAAGAGGAAAAGCCAAATCTCCCACATAGGCACAGCCTCCCCTGCTACGTAAATCCCTTCAGGGTCGTACAGCTGTTACGACTGATAAGCCTGCACTGACATTTGTCATGTTTTGAATGTAATTTATGGTTGTGTCACTGCCAAAGAGGCCAGGTGATTTGACTGCTTTTTCCTAACTCAGCTGCCTTTGCAACTGCCAGTGACAGACTATACATCTGACACACCTGCCTCGCATCCATTTCTGAAGTCAAGATGGTTCCTGGAGCCCTGTGCTAGCATCTTCATGGCTGCCTTTAGCCTCTCAGTGGCTTAGGCCAGGTTTTGTCACAGCTGAAATGAGTCTTAGAACATTTTAATCCTCCTAGAATACAAATGGGAGGCTTGGGAGAAATTACCTACCACAGGCCACCTCAGATTTGCCCACTGTACCCCCTGAGGGTACAGAAGGGGCTACAGTACTGCTTAGGAGCAAAGTAGAGGCATCCCCTGCCCCCCAACAACAGGGTGCTTGACCCCATATGGTAGTATTTGACCCACTTGGGGAGGGGGGACACAAGTATTATGGGAAACCGACAGCTTCGTCCTTTTTTTTCCCCTCTATCTTTTCTATCTCTATCAGCTATCTATGTGTAACAAACGTTGACTCTAATAGTGCTTATTTCTTCACTGGCTGAATCCTGCTTGACATTTCCTATGTAGGTCTTTTGTTACAGGATAGCCCAGAGTGGACTGGGCTGCCTGTCTGTGGAGCCTCAACCATGCGCTCAAAATTCAGTTATATTGCAGACACACACAAAAGGGTCATAAGGGGTTTATTTACAAAAGGGGAAAGGAATAGGAAACAACCCAGGGAAAGAGAGCGGGGATACAAAGTAACTAGAGTACCTTACCGACTAGGCTGACTGAAAACACCGAGTCAAGCAATCCCAAGAGCCATTTCCCAAGCGAGAGAGCTAGAGATGCAATCCTTCCCTATTTATCCCCCAAATGTCCCAGAATTCCTGCTAGCTCTGCCTTGGGTCCTCGCAGTTCTCTCCCTGGTACTGCTGGGAGTTGTAGTTCCCAGTCACTGGAGTAGGAGGTAGGGTCCAGAAAGCTGGAGTAGGGGGTGGAGTCCACAAGACTCTGCAGAGTTCCTTTAGGACATCCTTCCCCTTAAAATTTGACTTAGCTCCCTCTGCCTGAAGAGCCATTTCCCTGGCATAAATGAACTCTAACACACATCCTTACTGCTCTTATTTTTGTCACAATCCCAGTTTTGGACTTTTCCTGGAACATTCAGTGACAATGATTAGTGATAGGCATGGCTGGTGCAGCTTTGTGGGTGGGGAAGGCTGTTAAGTTTGGCAGAAGAATGAACATGTGCAATTAGAGAGGTTAGCAGTTTCTTAACCCTGAATTTAGACTTAGAAGTTGAAGCTTTGATGGATATTTTCTTCACTATCACCAAACTCTTAGATCAGAAATAGATATCAGTCTTTCTCTTAATATCTATGAAGTTATTGAATCTCCTGTTTTATCTCTCAGAAATGCCATCTGTTATATATGCAAGTCCTATTCATGAGGAATTTTTTTCTCTAGATAACATTGTGATTTTTTCTATTTTTTAATAAATGGTTCAGAAGTCTGTACAGATTATTTTCACATTTTTATTCATCTACTTGCCTCTCTCAAAATGTCAAGAGTTAATCAGCCTCTGTTGGTCTAAAAATATTGATAAATGTATTCAGACCTTGCTTAAAAACCCAGATCATTGTAAAATCTTAACATTCAGGCCTGTTTGATAGATTATCTGCAGAAAACCCAGTGAACTTGGCAAAAAACGATAGAAACCACAACCAACATTTGAATCACTTGTTTAATATACAAAGTCTTTCACAGATCATTGTTTTCTTTTCCTTAATTTGTCTTAGTACACATTATTCACAAAACAGGAAATTTTTAATGCAAGAGAATTAGGTAAAACCAAAAAGAGTACAAATGCTCAATCTCAAAAATTGTACACAGTTAAAATACTTTGTCCTTATTGGTTTTAATGCAATGTCCAATTTCAAAATGGGCTTTCTTCAGAAGTGGAGGAACACTGCAGCCCAAAAATAACAGCACTTCCTTTCAACTGTATTGATATGTAAAATAGCACCTTTGGGCTGACTTAAGGAAAGAAAAAAGGTTTTCATCTTTCTTAATTAAAGTGTAAATCGTACACAATTAAGTAACATCTACAGTAGTACATTTTAAGTGCTCTATTTTGTTGCAAAACATTCAATGACAAGGCAAGGCAAACTGTCAGGCTGATGGGGTGATCCTTCCATACCTCACCCCCATGACAATTACAATATCTCAAGGACATTGTGGCTCTCAGCTAATTTTTCTGTCAAAGAATACACATGATAGCAATACCCAAGGACTTGTGCAAAACAAGATGAATGCACTAAGAGGCCACTCTGGGACTCTAATTACATGTAACAACAGCCAATGAGAGATTTAACCAGAGTATTTTGAAAGACTCCTTCAAAACACACCCACCTCCCTTTGTGTTGGTTTTGATTTTATTTTTTTGTTTGTATTTGTACTTAAGTTCAATTGCCTTCGTAGGCTTCATTTCAAAAGAAAACTACTGGAATTTTACTTCTTTACAGTTTAATCTTTCATTTTAACAATAAGACAGATTCGTCTTTAGTTTAAAAAATTAACAGCATAAATGTCTGTTTTGTGGTATTGATAATACCACAGGTTCGTGTTTATAAAAAGCCAAGGTTTTTAACAGAATGATAAAATCAATCCTCAATTGCAGTCCTTTGTTTCAATTCCACCTTATTTGCTACATGAGCAGGTAAACATGCTTCAAAATATCTTAGTCTAGAGCACAGTTACATCCAGTCCACAAAAAAAACATTGTCAAAATATCCAATTCTTTCATTGAAAGGGACATGTACTACTTGCCACAAAAACATAAAAAGAAAAAAAACAATCAACCTTAGGTTTTAGATGTATGTGGTGGTTGTTTCAGATTGTATGAATCACAAACGGCTATTGTAGGCAGACTCTTGAAAGATTCAAGTTGAGTTCAGGGACTAAGAAGGTCAGAAGAACAGCAGAATGAAAGGGTGACTTTTAACCCACAAGGGAGCTCTATTCTTTCCTCATTACAAAAAAGTAAAACCAGTGGAAGTTATTTTTCAGGATTTTGGTATGGCTGAACACCATGTCACCTTTTATGGTTGATACAATAACGCTTACCTTTACTTTTCATTATAGAAATATCTTCTTAGTGTTATTGTAGTTCTTAATAAAGAGGCCTACTTTTAGCCAATTATCTCCCATATGCAATGAGCTATGCACGTAGGTTACTTAGGTTTGTACCGAATTTAAATAGTATTAAGCAACTAAGGTAAATAGCCTTTTCCTTCCTGAGCAAACAGAAGATAAATCAGTATTTCTTCGTTGGTGACTAGATTCCCTCCTAGGAATATATGTAAACAATTAAGTTGCCACTGCTGAGAAAGATTAACAGAAAAATCAAATCAAGGTTAATTACTTGGGGAAGGAGTCATAGTTCAATCACCCAGAGCTTTGTTATCCATGAATGTATTTATCTTCAGCCTTTAAAATGGAAATTTAAGAGGAAGTGAGTACAAAGATACTCAACTGTGTGTGTGTGTGTGTGTGTGTGTGTGTGTGTGTATATATATGTAGTTTGGAAAAATCATGTCTTTATTTATGCAAAAATTTTGGTCCAGGTTAGTTACCTTAGTTTGTTCTCTCTATGCCTTTCTTCCACACACCTACAAAAATTTAAGAAAGATGAGTTTTAAACCTTTTGCTTCCTGTCTAAACACTTTAACATTTTCTTGTATATATACATGACTACATCCCCACGCCACATACACAGACGCTGACATTATTTACCTGTTCTTTATTTATAGGAATTTGCTGATCTATTCAGACTCACGTTCAGCCATTACTAATACTCATATCACCTGTGTCCTCATTAAAAGGTTATTTCTTTTTCCTTTGTCCTATTATAATCTGTGAAGAATAAGCAAACTGATAATAACAAAGTGCATCAGTTGAGACCCAGATTTGTGCAATGCGATACTCATGCTTTGGTTTCCCTGACCATCATGGTTGTCTGTTCACAGGAATAAATAAGACAGCTAACAAAAATAAATCACTGCTTTTGTGTAAGACATGGTTCTTTGACAAGCCACTATATCGATAATCATTAATCTAGCTCACTGCAGTATCATTCACGCTTCAGTTTTACATGAATATGCAAAGAACACAATAATCAACCGAACTGTCAAACCTAAACAACTCCATTACACAGAATCTGTGGAATATTTTTGTTTCCCAGCTGAGCAAGGAAAATACTGTCAGTTTTTAAAAATAGAGCCTAAATGCTTGGTCATACTACTCATCTGTCAAATTGATACCGCATGTGGATTAAAACAAAACAGAACAAAACAAAAACCTTGAATATTCATTTAATAAGAAAATGTTTTTTTTCCCCATTAGAAGTGCTTCATCATAGCAAACAGAAGTTAATTTTAGAACTTTGCTACAAGCAGGTGTCTTCTTTCTGTACCTAAACAATTTTTTTTCACTCTTTAGAAAAATGATAACTTCTTTAATCAAAACACTAAAATTTCATTAATTTAGTGTTTTATAAAACCAACATTTGCCAGCTTTTGAATAAAATACTGAATTAAGCTGCTATTCTGAGAAATGTGTTAAATGATGCAGAAATTTGATCTCTAAATTTTAGGGCTGCACTGATCCATATGGTTAGGTCAAATTGAGATATGCTGTGAGGGTAAAATACATACTGAATTTTGCAGACTTGCTTCATGAAAATTGTTGTAAGATAGCTCAGTTTTTTGTATTTTCTATTGACAAAGTGTTGAAATGAAATAATATATGGTATTAAATAAAATACCTTGTCAAAATTAATTTCATTTCTGCATTTTTACTTTTTCTAATGGGGGTTCTAGGAAATTTTCAATTTACCCATGTGGGGTCCATTCGATGGCTCTTGCTATTTTTTATTGGGGAATTTGCAGGCTCTGATGGTGAGTTTCAACATCTGTGGGTGTTTAAAAGAGCTAAGAAAACAAACAAACAAAAATTCTGAAAATCTTTTGTTCATGATTTAAATACAATTCCCAGTATTAATATCTTTCAAGGTGTATTGCATCTACTTTAAAAACATGCATTTGTCAAAACAACTCCACTCCACTATCGCCATAAAAATCTGTTAGCTGTCAAAGTATGAATATCAAAATGTGCATCCTCCAAGTTTGCTTCTGATGTGACTTAGGGATAATGCATACAGCTTCAAGCTTAAAACCAAATCTGTTTGCTATTTCCAGATGAGACAGTTAATGTCACGAGGCCCTGGAAGAAATACACACTGCAATTCCAGTCTGTGTTCTCCAGCTTTCCCCTGCTGCTGTGAGAAGGATCATGTGTCCATTTTAGTCTTTCCTCTTCACCTAAAAGCATACCTTGCTTTGATGGTTTTTAAAGTGTCTTAGAAATCATTCTTCAGCACACAAACTTCACGTTTTCTTATAACACTTTAGACTCTGCTTCATGGGATCCTGGATGTTTGGTGTATTTTTCCTCTTTTCCTTTTTGGAGGAGGGAGGAAAAATAAGTCAGTAGGAGAAAGGGAAAAAGATAAAGAGTTAATGATTCAGGATCACTTCTGACACTGTAGTGGCCGGAGGTGAGAAAGAGATTCTTTATATAGAAACTCCTCACTGATTCCATCACACGGGGATGACTTCAGCCGGGCCGCCCTCCACAGGTGCCAGTGAATTTGTACCTGTCTGTAACACAGGCACTACCACCGCATCCTTGATGTCCGTGTTTACACTACACGAGAAGTTCTTCTCCAATTTTTTGGCAGTGTCCGGGCAATTCTGCACAAAGATCACCCGGTTGTAGGCCTTCAGCCGGCGCCACAACTGAACATAGACTTTACATTGTACATACATGAAGACCAGACCTCCTGTGAAGCCAATGGCCACCACGACCAGCTTGGTCCAAAATGGCCACTCAAGGACACCTTTGAATGAAAAAGAGAGAATGTTATCACTAAGGGATTTACAACTTTTTGGAAAGACTGCTAGATTTAGTCAGTAGGAATATATTATAAATAACTGGGAAGAATGATAACCCAAATTGCTTCATTGCTTTCAAATATTTTAAATGTACTGTTAAAATGGTATGGGAAGAAATCCTCTCCCTTATCACTTCTTCTCTTAGCATCAAGTGTCTACTGTGATTATTATACACTACATTAGACTTTTGATTCTTACTTCGACACTCATTTTTAGAGCTAAACCTTTAAGTCAGGATAATGGAATATCTTGAACGAAAAACTCTGAACTTCAAATCCTTTTATAGGGTGGAGTCATTGGGTACCTGTATGGTGCATATGGAAGTCCCCATCTCCATTTCCATGAAAATTTAAAAAATGAGAAAAAAGATGTCACGTCTCACCAGAGACAGAAGTTCCTGAATACAGACATCCACTTGATTAAGGATTTTAGTCATTTGTTTGAGAAGTCTTAAGTTTGTCCCTGAGAACCATGACTTCCTTAGATATCATATTTCCTCCTAATTTGCATTGCCATCACAGAGATTGACTTTACAGTTTTAAAAATGATTTCATGAGTTTCTGTAATACCAACGGTGGTTAGCCTATGACTAATGATGAATGTGAAATACATAGGGTGGACAAGAGGCCATCTCTGGCCAATATCCCATGCCCCCCGGTCATGTGACAGGCAGTCAAGTAAGAGCATGGCTTAGTATGGAAGCCCAAGAAATTCTGATTAGAACCCAGCTTTTGAGATTCTATGACTCTACTCGGATTTTACTTTTAATCATAACCATGAATAAAGTTATAAAAAAATCCTTCCTATACTTCGAAGCGAGACAATGATGCCCTTTTGTGCCACGTTGAAGGACTTATTTAGTGCATTACCTGATATACTGCTTAGGGAGACCAGTGGTTCTCAGATGGGGGTAGTTTTGTACCTCAGGGGACATTTGGCAACTCTGGAGTTCTTGTTGACTGTCACACCTGGTGTCGGGGTAAGGTGCTACTGTCTTTCAGTACATGGGGGCCAGAAATGCTGGGTGAACCTCTACCAAGCCTCTCCAGGAAAGAAGCTTCTAGTGCAAATGACAGTAGTATTGAGGCTGAGAATCCTGTTGTAGAAGACAAGCAAGCCTGGAGCTTCTTTATTGAGAAACAAGGGAATTTAGTATGCAAATGAGGTGTCTAGGAGTTCCTCACATTTAGAAGAATTTTTGCTGTTTGCTGTTAAATGGAGCAGACATTTCTATATGTTTAAAACACTTTCAGCCACAGACAAGCTGGAGATACTTTCTCTTCTACTCCTAGGGAAATCCCCGTGGATTGCATAGACATTTCCCTCTGCTTATTAAATCAAACTACCAACTGTTCATCCTAAGTAACTAGAGATTTTCCACTTCTGTACTGCTATCCATGATATTTAATCTCCCTCCATTTTCTTTCCTACTTCTGTTTACTTGTCCACAAAACCCAACTCAGTAGTAATTTCCAACTGGAAACAAACTTGCCTATTTTTCTGTAGGAAGTTCTTTCTGCCTTTTGTGGAATAAGTTCACTTTTTGACATAAGTCATTTTTTCTTTGCCTTGCCATGATTATGACACACACAGAATTTCTATCTGGCCAGTCTTTGTTTCCACAGTACCTTGTTCAGTAGATAGTTCAAGGATGAATAAAGCTTTTGAATTTCTGATTTGATTGAACTGCCTCAGTAATTTTTTTTTTTCCGAGTCTCCAATATACCAGAGGTGATGGCCTTTCTAGATTTGTCAGTGAAGCTCTGTTTTCTTTGGTGGAAAAGGTCTTTGTTCTGAAGAAGATTCCACTCTTGATCTACCTCTCCACACAGAAAATAGTGACCAGAATCCACAAAGCACACAAGAATTTGGGCCGGGAGTAACCAGCTGCCATTTTCTTTGCCAATTCAGGAAAACACTACCTGATCCCTGTATTTCCTACACAAGGCATCTCTTCATCAATTTCCTTTGTTCAAGTTATCCTTTCTTTAAATGTCCTGGGAAATCAAAACTCCCATTGAGTACAAACCTGTTGTACTAAAATAACCATCTTCTTTCAGAGAGAGCCTGATCCTACTCTTTGCTTTTAATTAAGTGACAAGATTTTTGTTTTCTTTCTTTCTTTTCTTTTCTTTCTAAAAGATTTATATTTTATTTTTATGCACAGAACTGGGGTGTAGGTCAGGGGGTGAGAGGATTCACCAGAGGCAAAGTAGCAAACAAAACAGGCAGACTGACTGAAATACACTGCTGAGGGGAGAGTAGCTGGTGAGATAGGAGAGGTCTGCTGTGCCGAGTGGGTCACCTCCTTGGCCAGAGAGTGAACTCCTGCTGCAGTGGCTGAGGACAGCTTTACTGCTGTGCTTTAACCTGTTGCACCACCAGGGAGGCACTTCTGCTTTCTCTTTAAGTAGAAGTGAATAAACCAGAAAATCCCAGGTGGGTGTTAAACTATAGTTAGGGATAAAATTACTTACTTCCTCATCTTTAAAACATTGATCTCTAAGGTCTCTTCCAGCTTTTAAATTTGGGTTCTTGGAGTATTCTGCATATCTTATGTAGCAAATCATATGACAGAGACACCTGGAGTATCTTTTTTGCCTCTTTGAATCCCCAAACAGCAGAAGAGAACCTGCCTCATTTAACAGCTGCAGGGACAATGTATATTTAGAAAAAGCATCTCATTGCAATTTGTGATATTTTTGGCTGGGTACTTAAGGTTGTACAGCCTTACAAAGTGTGTATGTGTAAAAGTATGCAAGGGTGTGCGTGAGTGGTGGGGCTGGAAAGCTGGCTTCCTTTTTCACTGTTTAACTTAAAAATCATTGAAGAAATAAGCTTTCCCCCCCCCTTTTTTTTTTTTTTTTACTATTTCTACACCTTGTTTAAACGGTAGTATCTCCAATAACTATTCTGATGTATGAGCAGTATTTGCATAAATACAATACTTCAATTTACATGCTACAATGTCACGTTCCTGGTGTCTTTGAAAAATGAATCCGAGAAAGAACCCCTGAAGGATATTTAATTCCACTGAGTTTTACAATGAGGAAATTGATATTTAGAGTGATTTTTTTTTCCAAGATGACCAGCAAGTGACCAAGCAGAACAAGAACTCTGGCCTTCTGTCAGCTAGCGCCAGCCAGTGGTTATCACATCTGGATTATTATAGTAACCGCAATGTAATGACTTTCCAAAGGGATGGTCAAGTAGCATTGCTGAAAATGAAAACATATGTGCTGCAAGAAAGTGATTTTTAACACAGACTCTAGGTAGATGTTAACAGCTAATGAGTTCTTCACAGAGTTTTTATCTATAGTCAACCACAGTCAGCAAATTTTTTTTTGTTTCTACCATTACCAAGTGGGCTCTGATTAATGTGCCATGACCTCTGCCCTGGAGAAACTTAGAGGGGTACAGGTGAATCAAGTCTGGAAACAAAAGTACATCCTTAGGCGAATCTCCCTGGTGAACCCATAACCCTGAGTCATCCTGCTTGGTGAACCTGTAATCCTGCGTCTCATCTCTCCGGTGAACCCATAATCCTAGGGTCGCATTCAACTCTGAAGCTATAGTCTCTTTACCAGATAGTATACATTTTTGTCATGTATTCTTGGTCTGTATTTTTCTGTTTTGTTTTCAATATGCATACTGTATACCAAAGCATTTTCTAGAATATGTAATGATAAGGCAAGAAGAACAATTTTATCCCATATAAGAGATGGCAGATTAAATAATTTAGATGTTAAACTTTCAAGTTCCATGTATTTGATTTTGGGGGGTCATCGCTGGCATCATAAAGAAAGGATGGTGAACAAGGTCTCTGAAGGGCCACGTATCTTTTATCTTAAAGAAACACAATTTAATGATATAAGAAAGAGTTTTTCTTCTCCAGCATTGCTACTGATCTTCAAAAGATTGTGCTGTTTTATATTCAACTTCAATTCTGGTTGAGGAAGGACAATTTATTCCTCTTCACTTATTTTTGAAGGCTTTCAAATTGAGTTTCTAATAGTCTGACTTTTAAATTAATCAGTCTTCCTAGCAACTTTAAAAGTAAATTCAGGATTAGCACTCACAGCCCAATTCAAAGGGAAGATTAAAATAATAACAGTTCCTCCAGACACCCATACTACTGTACCTCAGGAAGTCAGTTTTTAAATATACTTGGAATATACAAGTCACATGAGTTTCCATTTGAACTGACTAATTTATAAGCTGTCCCACTGCAAGCGGTTTGGGGGACAGCCACAGAAGCTACTTTCGGTAAACATCTTGCCTCCTAGTTCCATTAGCTCTGAAAATCAGGGATAAAAGACATCACATTTTCACTTGGTTGTAAGAAACTAATAATAAATTGAAAAAGTGTATGGCAGGAAGCAGACCCTTGACCATCATTAATCTGTCCTGTACCTATTGATCGTCATGTAAGCTTTTCTACTGGGAAATGAGGAACCTGAGTGACAGTCCCTTGGGAAGCTATCACTGGAAACCCTGCATCATCAGAGCTGAGAATGAATGTTTTGAAGAAAAACTAAAAGAAAATGAAAGATGGCAAAACTTGGGTATGAAGCATTCACACTCATCACTGGTTTTCAATGAGCCACCTTGTGGGTCTTGGGCACAGAGCTGAATCTGTGCACCCATGAGTTGGTGCCAGGGAGCAGGAGACATCCGTGCCCTGGGTCTGAACTGAGTCTACAGAGGGAGACAGAATGAAGTGCACACTGGCGAGTCTGTGCAGTGAGTCTCCCAGTAAGGCTGAGCTGTCATCATGCCTGTGATGGACCCACGTAGGGACAGTGAAATCTAAATCTTGGGGGAGTAAAATGGAGGCTTCATAGTGGTGTAGCAACTGCACAGACAGTAGAGTGTGCAGCCAGGGAGAGGCAGGATGGGGAGAGGGAGGTAAGTGGGCTCTGGTGGAAACACAGTGAGTCAACTGTTTTTGGAATGCAGAGGGCATTCGGGCCACCTGCAGGTTTTCTAAGCCCATCTGCTGGGCTCCTGCTTCACAATTTCTGGGTGTGGGAGGTGGAGAATTTGCTTTTCTGACCAGTGCCCAGGGGGTGGGGTGGATGCTGCTGGTCTAAGAGCTACATTTCAAGAAACAACTATTCTAATTCAGGGAGTTGAAGTAGATTTTGTAGAGGGAGTGATGTAGAGTGGAAGCTGCAAATATAGGCCAGGGAGACGTGTGAGGACCTCGGTGCTGATGTGAGAGTGTGGTGGTGGGCCAGAGAGGCTGGCGGGGAAGGATTCAGAGGGAAAAGCTGAGAAAAGTCTGGAAGTCCATGGGGACTGACTGGGTGGCAAAGTGAAAGGTCGGCATAATCGATTTCAGCCTGGTCATGGGGGCAGCAGAGTCCAAGTCTGGGGCATATTTTAAAAGTAAAGAGTTATGATCAAGTGGGACTAGGGAGTGACCAGGCTGGTGTTTTTGTAAATTTGCTGTGATTTATTTATTGAGCATACGTTGAAGGTGGGCAAAACTGGAGGCAGTTTCAGCACAAGACAGGAGAGTTTGTATGTAACTGGTGGCAGTAGGGGAGGACAGAAAAGGACTCATTCTGGAGGCTTCTGAGGTGGGATTAAAGGAGTTGGTGATTGACTTCAGGTGCAAGCCAGGGCCGGCAGGTGAGGCCTGAGGCGGCAGGTCTGGATCGGGCCACTGGCATGGGAAATGGTAGTAGATTCTGAATTGGGGCACAAACAGTGACTGGGAGACTTGAAGCAGAAGTGCAGGAGGTAGGAAGATGCACAAGCTGCAGATAAGTTGGGGGTTATCAGCACAGACGTGACAACTGAAGACAAGGACTGAAATGAATAAGGAAACTGAGACAAATGCAAGGAGATTTGGCTTCATGGGTCTGGCGAGACTCCCGCTGCTGAGCTGGGACAGATATCACCACTGCAGAATAAGTGATCACCCACCTGTCTTAGAAATGAGGTTAAATAAAAGGGGTCTAAGAGGTTCTGTCTTGTCTCCAGGCAGAGATGCGTAACAGGAGATTGCTTCTGTTACTCTGGGATCGATGATGACCTTAATCTTTCTCTCACATGTGGCTAGTGGGGAACAGGAGCCCTGTGGTCTCAGGACCTGTGGGAGTGTGTGTGCTACACGGGAGCCAAATTTATGAATCTCAAACATCTCAACTCTCATCATGTAAAAATATTCAGTCTCCAGGCCCTCCCTGGTGGTGCGGTGGGTTAAAACGCGGCACTGAGAAGCTAAAGCTAAAGCCACTTCAGCATGAGTTCGATCCCCACCCCGGAGCTGACCCACATGGCCCAGCAGACCTCTCCTGACCCGCCCGCTGCTCCCCTCAGCAGTGTACTTCATCCATCTGCCTGTTCTGCTCCCCACTCTGTCTCTGGTGAATCCTCTCACCATCCCTGCATCTCTGGCCTGTACCCCAGTTCTATATGCATAAAAAAAATATTCAGTCCCTGTAAGGTCTGCCTTTGATTGCTAAGATTTAAGCTGAGTCCTAAAGTAACATATTGGGGGTAGGGGGTGGTGGTGGTGACAAACTTGTTGGCATTTCAAATACACTTGGATGGCTACAGTGTTTGTAAGAACAGTGGATGTGACTTAAAAAAAAAAAAAGTCTTATTCTCAAGGTACTGCTTTGATAGGGATGAAATAGACATTTTTAATCAGGATTTCAATAACAATACAAAATACAGTTGTAAATAACACAGTTCAGTATAAATTGTATATGAATGCATTACTATTGTACCAAGAAACAATCCCCCAAACTTCACTCTGTTATTCTAGCCCTTAGCAGTAAAAATAGATTTATTTATTTGTGCATACAGAACTGGGGTACAGGTCAGAATGCAGGGACAGTGAGAGGATTCACCAGAGACAGAGTGGGGAGCAGAATAGGCAGACTGACGAGGTACACTACTGAGGGGAGCAGTGGGCAGGTCAGGAGAGGTCTGCTGCGCCATGTGGTCACCTCCGGGGCGGGGATCAAACTCATGCTGAGGTGGCCTTAGCTTCTTGGTCCTGTGCTTTAACCGGCTGCGCCACCAGGGAGGGCCCTTCTAGCCCTTAGATTTTAAGCAGCAGTGTTTTCATTCTAGGCTAGAAGAGGCCTCAGAAGATGCCTCTCCGGTGTGCACCTTTGTCACCATCTCCACCTTCTTCCCTTCAAAGTCTGGTCCCCCCAGCTCACCAGTCCTGGCTCTTTGTTCTGCAGCCCTGATGTTTCTAGAAAGCCTGCGGGGCACGTGCTGGTGAGCTCTGCTGCCCCCAAAAGGGGAAACGCGAGAATGCGACACCCATCCAGGAGGGATGTGGAAGAAATAACAAGCCTTTCCATTTAAAAGTTCTTTTCCTTCATACTTCTTTCCCATATTTCCTCTCATCTTTTCCCTTCATTCATTTTCTCTTTTTGAGAAGTTGTGTAAACCTCATAAATTTGCAATTACAGAAATGTACAAGTTTACAATGCTATCATCTGAACAATTTCTCCTTTCAAATTCAGCATTAATTTGGGGGACAGGGCTGGAAGGATGGGAGATGTTAGGATATTTCTTAGTGCCTCACCAGCGATGATTTGTGTTATATGCAAAAACCCATAGAGCCCGATGAGCTTCAGAGTGAAGTTAACCTATTTTCCTTCTTTTTAAAATGACCTATTTTACATATGAGACTATGCCTCATTCATTCTAGAACACCTTTCTTTACAGACATAACATCATCCTTCACAATCAAGCAACATGCCTCTAATTTCAAATTACAGTCTTAATCTACTCAATCAAATTATATAGTGTAGACCATCACAAGTTCTTTATAGACTATCATTCTATGCATGTTTAAAAGGAAACAATGACTAGAGTGAATGAAATAAAATCCTTTCATTTTCACACCTGTTTGTCCTTCACATGAGGCAGACCTGATCCTTATTGAGTTTCTGAAGAGCCTGAAGTGGTGTGTGTCATTTATATATTTCTCCCCAAATCTTACAAGGACTTAATAACTCTTGATTTTGGTTTGGTCCCCAAACATTCAATGATTTATAGTCAGTGTATTAATCAATAACCTAAATGGAGAAAATTCAGCTGTCAGGACTGATTTTTACTAGTGTATCATATAGGAAGGCATAAGACAGGCAAAGAGCTTTACTACCCACCAGCTGGTGTCATCAGAGAATCCAAGAGAACAAAGAAGAAGAGATATTGGTCTCTTACCATTATCGTTGCCTTGCTTGATCTCCTCAGCTGTCCGATCTATTAAAACATACAAAGACCAAACCACACAGGTGATTGCGATGACGTGGAAGGTGACAGAGCAGAATATTTTCCTTCTTTCACTGGTGGTCATCTGTAGTTTCTCCCACTGCAATCAGAAATGAATCATACATAACTGAATTTCTGATCAGGATCTTTGGTTCCCCTTTTATATCGCAGATATAGAACATAAGAGCAAAAAAGGTATTAAATCTTTGCAATTTCATATGACAATATAATATCCAAATAAGTTCTCGTATGAAGTCATAACCTGCTAGTTACACCTAATTTAACTACATATTGAAAAGCAAATAGAATTAATCATCTATTCTCCAAATGAATTCCATCAAGTCTGCAGTTCTCATTTGTAACACATACAGAGTAGTTTTAATATTGTACATTTTAAAGAAGATATTTCCTTTTAGATTTTTACATATGACATCTTGGTAGTAGGTTATAGGTAGTAATAAGTAAGCCCTTCTTAGTATAGCACCTAACCTGATAAGAGTGTTGCATTTCTGAGCGTAGACATCTAACAAGTGTTTGAGTGGTTGAATAATACCTTGGAAAGAGTGTTGTCTGTTTAGAACTCTCCTCTAGGACACATTTTATCATCTGGGTGGTGGCAGAAAATCTGTCACTTGGTGCAATCTGCTGCCCTGAGAGTGTCATTACTAATCATAATCATTGTCTCTTCGTCACATTCCTCATAAAGGCGAAGTTACTCCTTCAGTCCTTCAGTCTGAGAGAATACAGTAGTAAGTTTAGGCTCCTATGAATTTGGTGTCCATTATTTGAAGAAATAGACCGTCAAGTGAAATTTTTAAAATCTCGACAGTTAATCATTTTATGCTTACGTTAGGTTTTTGTTTTATTTTCCTTTGCATTATTTCCATCAGAACTGAGGCATATTAAAGCTTACTAGATAACATCTATGCCCTTATTAGAAGTGACCGAGCCTAATGTACCAGGTTTCCAACAATCTAAGCTTTCAATAATAACTGCCTGTTAGGATCTTGCTGAAACAAAATCTTTAGAACTTCAGAAGGTCCCTCTTCCAGTCACTCCGTGCCCATCTACTCGTAGGACATTCCACGTGCAAGCTGCTGAAAGCCAGAGCGTGTACACCAGGCCCCGGGAAGTGCAGGCTCTGCTACTGACTTTGGGACATCAGGGAAGCTGCTTCCTCTCTGCAGCTCCCACTGCCTCATCCTCATGAAAGGGAGTTCGTGGCAGAGGCTTTGACAGGTCTGTCAAGAGGACACAACTCTTCTCTTACTGACAGACTCTCTACCAGCGTAGGCATCATGCTCTGATAAGTCTTTTTTGGAGGCAAAAATGGACACGCTTTCACCAGTGAGTTGTGGGCATTACCCACTGGCATAGTGAGACGGCCTTCCTCACACAGGAATTGCCCTTCCTCCTTTTCTTCATCATCTCTGCTTTGAGTCCCACAGATTTCTTGCAACCTTGTGGAAAAGTTTTGAGAATGGAGAGTCCTCAGCCAAAACAGCAAGAGCTCACCTCTAGATGCCTCTTCTACACAAGGAAAATGAAACCTGCCTGATTAAACCGTTATATCTCAGGATTCTGCTATTTGCCCTCAAATGTAATTCCCAATTAAAGAATCAAATAGATACTTCCTAACTTTCCCTCTTGTCTGACAGCTAAGGGTCTATAATTTCATTGGTGAGAGAACACAGAACTTAAAATCTGATCTTGTGTTTCAGAAAGCTTTTTCAATATTTTAGAGAAAAAAATATTTTATTTACAAACATCATCCATTTTCCCACAGGGCAGTCATCAGGTAATTTTCTTATCGGAGTCTGTTAGAATTAACACTTTCTACTTAATTTTCTACTTTCTTTTTCATCAAGCTATATTTTATATATTATATATAATAACATTATATATTATATAATATTATAATATTGTATGTTATACAAATATATAATATTTAATATTTTGATGGAAAAATCTTGGTAACATAGGGAGGGGAAGACAGATGCTACAATCTAGGCTTTTTCATTAACCAGTACTGTATTGGAAGATTTTACTATGTGTATTATGGTTTTTATAAAACTAAACATCATATTTATGAGACATTGTTTTAAAATTTTGTTACTGATTTACTGCATTAATCAGAATTACATGTGTAATTATGAAATTAAATATTATCATTTGAAAATAGTATTTGGGAATTTAATATTTTTTGTATTACCTCGACCTACCTGGGGCCAAATTAAAAAAAAATGCAGTTTTACATATTGAAATTCCTATGTCCCAAGTGGATTAGAGTACCTTCGCTAACAAAATATTCTTACCAAATCAACCCTCAATTATAAAACATTATTTAAAAAAAAAGCCCTCAAAATTGGTACTTCTTAAATCTAAGGGGCAATTTGATGAAATAACTGAAACACATTCTTTAAAATTATTGAGCCTTAAGTAGGAAATTATCAGTGGGCTGACAGGAACGTACCAAATCATTTACAGAAGCTTTTTAATTCCAGACAGTGGAAACTGAAATTGTCACTTCCTAATTTCAGCAGCATTTTAAAAAGAAGTGAACTGTAAAGGGACCATTGAACTTTCTCACTTTCCTTTTTTTAAAATAAATATATATATATATATATATATATACATCATTCTTCATTTTTGTACAATGTATGATTGTAATATCCACTATCAATTCAGCCGTGCACCATCACTATAGTCCCTGATGCTCTTCCCACTCATGTCCTGAACCCCTTCTCCCTTTTCCTCTCCTACAGAATGTCTCTGATCTATAGTTGCTTGATCATCTTGATTTTTACTTTCCTTTATAAAGCCTTACAGGCACCATTAAAAAAAAAAAAAAAAAAAAAAACTCTAGGTCGCACACACGTAAATGTAATGCCACAGCGCCCCCTGCCGAACAGTCACATCACTGCACATAATAATCAAGGATACGGCACAAGCTGAAATCAACCTATTTTATAAAATGTGGTTCATATATATCCATCTATTTTTAGTTCTTTATACAAAGTTTGAATAAACTTTGCAAACGTTCACAGTGAGGAATAGTTCAGAAATCAAGAATAGAAATTTAATTTCATCAAAGATCTCATAAAGGGTCTCTCGTTTTTATTTATGTATTTTCACATTGTTCATTTTTATGCAATGTTTGATTTCTCCCCTCAGGTGTTGTCCGTATAATTACCACCACGAAGCCATCTGTGAACTGTCACCACAGGATCTTGTGCTTTTTCCTCCCTTTTGACCTTCTCCCTCCCCTTCCCAGCTGAATGTCTCCAATTCATAGCTTGCTTGCTAGTTTTGTCTTTTTTTTCTTCCTGATTTCTTATATGATTTCCCCAGGTTCCTCCTATAAGTAAAACCATATGGTACTTTTCTTTATCCTTCTGATATATTTTACTTAGAATAATCCCTTCCAGCTCCCCACTGCTGCCAATGGTGTGAGATTATCCCTTGATCGCTGAGTAGAATTCCATTGTGTATCTATACCATGTGTTCTTGATCCAGTCATTGTGTTTTTGGACATTTAGGTTGTTTCCATATTTTAGCTATGGTAAATAGTGCTGCAATGAACATAAGAATGCAGGTTTCCTTTTGAATTAATGTTTTGTGCCCTCCTAAAGGGTCTTAATTCAAAATCTGTGATGCTGACATGCAATGCTAGTTCACAAGAGATTTTGTGAGAGGAAAATGATAATCTGCATAAATGCACAACACTTTGATAAAAAGCAATTCTTTAAATTTTAGTTTAAAAGATTAATTTATTTATGCATGTAGAATTGGGGTACAGGCCAGAGGTGGGAGTGGGTAGAGACAGAGTGGGGAGCAGAACAGGTCGACTGACGAAGTACACTGCTGAGGGAAGCAGAAGGCAGTACAGGAGAGGCCTGCTGTGCCCTGTGGGTCAGCTCCTTGGCTGAGGATCGAACTCATGCTGCAGTGGTTGCATATAGCTTTACAGTGCTGTGCTTTAACCCACTGCACCACCTGGGAGAAACCCAAAGAGCAGGTTTGTAAATAGTATGTGGCTATGCCCACACAACAGGCACCCCGAATATGTCTACCACTGTGACGCCTCTAGGAGGGAGTCACACAGGGAGGCCTGACGGGGACTCGGGGTGGCCCACAGCCGCGGTGTCAGTATTACCCAGGCACTTTTGCAAAGGCATCACCTTTCCTCTTTAGATTATTCAGGCCTGAGTCAAGCGACACGTCTCTCCAAGCGATCTGCAGCTGACGGAAGTGATAAGATGGCAGCTCTTACTCCCTTCCCCAAGGACCAGGTGCAAGAGCGACATCACAGTTCCGCCTCTGACCCTGTCGACTTCCCACAAATGCCCCTCAGCAGTTCACATTCTTGCTCACACCTTTAACATTCAGGATAAGTTAACGTTGACCAAACCTGTTGCATACAACCTTCACATCTCCTAAGTAGGCGGTCTTGGATTTTATTAGACTTTGCTGGGTCGCTGGTGCCTGTTTTTATTCTTTTTGTCCTTTGGCCCCTTGAGTAATTGCTCCACAGTAGAAAGAATTGAACAAAAACTCTGCTTATTCACTTAGAAATAAACAGCTAGGTTTTTCTGAAAAGACTTCCAAATTGGAACATAAATTGATACAAACTGTGTCTGTAAAATTTCCTATTTGCTCTAGTTAAATCAAACTCTGAAGGTTTTCTAATTCTAATTACTTTATTTGTATTCTGTACTAAAATGCAAATTCAAAAAATACAGCTTAATGAGAATGCCTCTTAAATCTTTATACAGTGAAGAATAAACGCTGGTTATTTGCACATTATCAACACACACGAGCTAGAGTCTTCTTTATCAAGCTCATCTCATTTTCTCCCTTGCCACAGCTCCGTTTTCCATTGCCCTTAGACCAAAATTATCAGCAAATATGATGAAAAAGCAAATAACTACAATACCACCAGGTGGCGCTAGGCTCAAAGAGTAGCGAGCGTTGCCCAGCTTGAGACAAGTGCGGCCTGACCCAGAAGTTCCCATCAGGTCAGGCACCCACTGTAAAGCAAGGTCACATTTTAACTG